AAAAGCAATTAAGTGGCAAGAGTCGCATAGGTGAATTGCATTTAAAAATTTAATAACCAAGGTTTTCTGTTGAAAAAACAGTTAAGCGGCAAGATTCGCACAGGTGAATTGCATTTAAAAACTTATTAACCAAGGTTTTCTCTTGAAAAAACAGCCAAGTGACAAGAGTCGCACTGGTAATTGCAAATGAAGATTTAATAACCAAGGTTTCCTCTTTAAAAAAACAGTTAAGTGGTAGGAGTCGCACAAGTGAATTGCATGTGAAAATTTAATAACCAAGGTTTTCTATTGAAAAAACAGTTAAGTGGCAAGAGTCGCACAGTTGAATTGCAATTAAAAACTTAATAACGAAGGTTTTCTCTTGAAAAAACAGTTAAATGTCAATAATCGCACAGGTGAATTGTGTTTGAAAATTTAAAAACCAAGGTTTTCTCCTGAAAAAACAGTTAAGCGGCAAAAGTCGCACAGGTGGACTGCAATTGAAAACTTAATAACCAAGGTTTTCTCTTGAAAACACAGTTAACTGGAGGATCAATTTGTATTTCTTTTGGATGGCTAGTTATACTTAGAGATCAGTGGTTAAATATATGGGCGATTGGTTATGCATAAGGACCATTAGGTGCACAAAGAGTTCAATAGCTTCAACTAGGGTTCATTAGATGTACATAGGGATCATTGGTTAAACATACAGATCATAATTTATACACAAGAGATATAATATTCTACACTGTGGTCAAAAACTATACTCAGGGATCATTAGTTATATATAGTTTGAAAAAAAAAATGCAAAAAAAACTTGAAAAAGAAATTGAAAAAAAAAATTCCGAAAAAAACAATTGAAAAAAAATATATTTTTTTTTAGAAAATTTTGTGTGAATTTTTTTTTTGGAAAAACACTTACATAGGGATCATTAGCTAAAAAAAACTATACATAGGGATCATTAGTTATAAATATATTACATAGGGATCATTAGGAATAAATATTTACCTATCTATACCTAAATATTAATCTATACCCAATGATTCCTGTGATCACCCCCCCCCCCCGATCCCAGTGTCTTATATCTATACTACTACTGTTTCTGCTATAATTATTCTCCTACTCCGAGAAACGACTACTCGATTCGCAAGCAATAATTGTTCTCTCTAACTATCTGAGAACCAACTATACTCTATCTCTCTATCAGTATCAATTGCTCTCTTCTCTGACTGAGAACCAACTACTCTTAATAGTAGCTAACAACTGTTCTGCCTCTTACAGGCTCCCCGGTAACCTCCAGCTCCTTATCTTTTTTTACACTTAGTCTTAGATTAAGTCACGCCATTTCCTATCAGTCCTAACATCCGCTTAAATCAACTGTCCGCACATGTTTTAAGACTATATCCCTCCCCCTGTAAACTCTGCCAAGTGCCATCTTCGGTTTCTTTTAGAATCTTTTCAACCTTATTAGATACCCGGTATGCGGTGGCTGTCACAATTTGAACAAGCAAACAAATGTCAAACGATTCTAATCAACTAATTCCTGACCTCAGTAACTTCAGCCCTCGAGTTCAACTCAACCTCCAAACCATACTATGTTTACTCAGTGACCCTCTCAATGTCTTTATTTTAATTATTCCGTTAACGTTCCGACCAAGGGTAGGGGTAGACCCTTTTCATGGATAGCTAAATCATCCGTACTCATAGCATCTAAAGTTTCGATCTGTACTCTATTCCAATACCGACCTTCTTGCTATTAGCGAACGTAGTTTGTCTATTAGGGGTAAAAACTAACTAAAGAGTCACCTCCGAGGAGCCAAGTAAATTCCCCCTGAGCCCAATATTTACCAAGTCCACTTTGAATGAACTCTACTTCTCCAAGATTGCAATTTAAAACTATATTGCTATCATTTTCTGCTCTATTTCCCAAACACAATTTTTCCCAATTTTTAACAAGGTGACCGGTTCATATCTCCAGATGGTTGGGCTGGGGAATACACCACCTTCCGGTGTTAAAATCGGGTTTTCTATGCAATTTTGGGGTCACAACGCTTAAAGATCAACTTAAGTTCACCCTGGGGTCCCCCGTGTCAAACTTCTATATTTAGAATCAGAAAACTATGGGGGTCCTAACTACCAAGTTCTATCCATATCCCATTATTACTTCACTAGTTATCCCATTTCGAATGTCCATTATCACTTTTTCCGGAAAAAGGCTATCAACAAGAAGAAGCCTGAGGGTTTTCACTCACAAGGGGTCTTTTTTCGGGGTTTGCATTATTTGTCGATTGCTGCGTTAAAATCATTATACCATCGTTCATAAGTTTTGCGTCAATTGCCTATTTCCCGTTTAAAGGGGTATTTTTTCAAGTGCTAATAGCATCCGGTCCAACCGCCGGATTTGGTTCAAATTATACCACAAGATGTATCTTGCCACTATTTTTCATCCCTTCAAGTTTCAGCTCCTTGTGATCATTGGAGGCCGAGAAACGACTTCCGTAAGTTAGGGTTGGGTTTGTTTACTTAGGACATAAAACCGGAAGTGGGGGTCCTTGCGGCGTGGGGTTTCAAAATTAAGCTTCCCTCAACTAGGCCTAGAACACACTAAAAACTGAGCCCAATACGTCTGCTAGTTTCGGAGTTCTGATAGAGCCGTTTACACTTCCGGGGACCGTTATCACTTGCCCCCCAAAGGTCTGAGAAGTCCCGTTTTTCGTATGCCTGGATCAAATCATCTCTAGTATCGCTCCTCTGAATTTCATAAGATTAGCTTCCTCGGTTCCGATTTTGGGGGGAGGCGGGCTTTCGCCGAGTTTGTCAATTTTTATTTTCTGTCATAGGAGGGACGATATCTTCGAAGAATTAACTATTTTGAACTCGATCCTTTGTTTGCTGTACTACTCAACTTAATGACGAATCAATCTTGACGAAGATTTTATAGCATTTTATATATCTCAGATTACTATAGCATGTAAAACAGTAGAATCACCAATTCTGCATTCGAATGAAATAGCATGAAAAACTTGGAGGCATAAATTCTTTCGCTCCTTCTCACCAAATTTCCTGCTCGATTACAAAACAGCTCTCACGAAAACAAATTTCTTGAGATACTTCAATTATCAAAATCTGAATCGGAATTCAACACCAATTTTTTCGGAATTTTTTTTTCTAAGGGAACTACTGGTTGAGTGTATCTGATTGGGATCGCTTAAATTTATCAATCCTATCCAGTACATCTTGCTTCCAAATGGCCGTTCGCTTTTTGACATAACCGCTGTAATCTCTTTTGTATTCCTTTCTTCCCTTGTCATCTGAAATTGTCATAAGCACACCAACTTTGCTCATTGCAACTGTGAGTGTAATATAATCAAGGCCATTTTTAGCTTAAAAACTTTTTATAGCTGTTTTCTGAAATCTTTCGTTAAATCGGAAACTCCATTAATTGTCGTGGTCATGGGTGAACTTAAAAAAGCTAAGCCATTAACCTAAATGTTAAAATAGTTTCTCAGACTAATTTTGATCAGAAAATTGAAAACCTCAAAACTGAATCCTTCGGGAAATCAAAAATGATCAAGAAATGCGACTTACAATATTCGAATTGGACGAAGTCCTGTGCCAACTCATCGATGACATCATCAATATCGCCGTTAAGAATTCCCTCTTCAATCAGCTTCGCTGAAATGATTTCAAAACATTTGAATTGTTTTTCAATATAATAGTTAATACTTAAAATTTGCCAAATTTGGGTTTAATTTGATTTAGAGGCAAAAATTTTATGAGGATGTCAACAGCATTTTGTTCAACTTAAAAGAGGGTTTTTGAGAAATATTTTAACTCTACCATCTGCTCCTGATTCGGTGATCAGTTTCTGAACCTCGTTGACAAGAATGTTTACGAAGTTGTCCAGAAGAGGCATGTTATCACTCAATTCATCCAGCCCATCTTCAGGTTCTAGACGCACATGAACTTTTTATAAATGGATAAAAATTATTGTGTTCGTTGATTCAGTATGACTTGGATGTAATCACATTTTTAGCGGCAATATTGACGATCTAAGTGTAAATAACGTAATATGGTCTCATTAGTTTTTAACTCTTTCCTCAAATGCTTAAAGATTTTCAGTCGAAATTTTAAATTTCAAAACAAGATGCCAAGTTCAAAGCAACAATAGCGGCTTACTGTGCAAGTAGAACAGCTTGTTCCGACCATAGTCTTAAGAACACAAAAAAAAAGTTTTTTTTTTTTCAAATTAGTGTCTTTGTTTTTTTTTGGCGTGGGGGACTGAATGAAAAACTAGAGATTAGAGATACTGGACAGTCATAGTAAAACAAGCAAAAAGCAAATTTAAAAGAATGCTGAAAAATGACTGAAGAAATGAAAAAAAATCAAGAAAAAATTGTCAAAAGTTTGTGCAAATTTTTTGTAGTTTTATGAAATTTTGATTTCTTAAAGGCGCTAAAATACTGAAAAAAAACTAACGTTACTCGGGTAATTTTAACATTTTAAATTAAGATAGTGCAAGCTGTTAATCCATTGAAATAGGCTATTGTTTGCTTTATTCGTTCGAATTGAGACAAAATTTTAAATCAGTTTTTCTCAGCACTGGGCAAAAAATTTCCTAATGTCGTTCGAATCTCGACTAAAGGGCTTTAATATGATATAAAAAACTGAAACACACGAATACAATGTTCCTCCCCGTTTTTCGAATGATCGGAACAAAAAGCTAACTTAATTTGTTCTTGGCTTTATTCTCATGTGTGAAATCGTAGATGAGCGACAAACGGGTCAGCAGTTGAGTATACAGACATATAAGACTATAAATAATATCACTTGCGTTTATCTTGGTTAGCAAATCTACAATCGTTGCTCACTTTAAATTGCAGAAATTGCAGAAATTATATGACGCAACATTGGCAATCAGTGTTTTTAGACATTTTTTTAACAAGCTATTTTTGTCCGAAGATTTTTGAACCAGCTGAAAATTTTCGATGTCTTAATTTCAATATTAAAACAATTTTCCATGTGTGATTCGCGAAGACAGTGAGTTCGAAAATTGCTATTTTTCCAAATTGGTTTAACTACCGCGCGATTTTTTCCGTGCTAATAAAGTGAAATGGTGATTATTTATTTCGGCTCAAAAATTGCATAAGTTGTTTTTCAAATACGATGCGGAGAAAAATTCAAAAGTAACGCTATAAAATATTACCTTGATTTTTCTTTTTTATCTTTTTTCTCTTTAATTTTTATCATTAACTGTTTCGAGAAAACCGCTTCAAAGTTTTGCTTATACAGCTCGTTTCGAATGTAAGTTAAGCAGATCAAACGCTCATTATTGGTTTTCGACATTTCATCTAATAGCAGGCAGAGATTTTGTTTCGATTGCCTGAATACTCAACTTCCCAGTCCAAACAAAATAGTTCACCTGAACTAGAGATGATAGTTGCCAAGTTTAACAGAAGAAGGATTTTGATCATGTCTTTCTCCGTTCTTTAGTGATCGTTTTATTGTCAAAAAATGGTGAAGTGTTAAATAAACTTTCGATTCAACTATTTATAAAGTTTTTTACAACCCAATAAAAAGTTTACGGTGTCACATTTAAATTTCATTAGAAACTGGGGTGTAAAGGTTTAATTTAAAACTTATTGATGGATAATTTCAAACATCTGTTGATTTAATTGGTATATTTGTTAAGATACTTTAGAAAAAAAAACTAAATATAAAGTCAAAATGTATATCAATGAGGAGATCGTCTGAAGATTTTTGCTTGCTGCTCAGCCAAAAAACATCAAAGGAAAAAACTTGTTTGCTAAAAAACACCAAAAGCCAATTAAACGATCATCATTGGTCAGTATTCAAGAAAAAATTTTTCAACCAAGACTTTCAAAGTTACGATTTTTTGTTTAAGCTTTTCGTGCGAAAACAATGAAAACCTTCAACGACAGCGACTAGAGTGTAGTCTGTTTCGAAGTTTTCTCTGTTACGAAAAGTTGTTTGACAATTTGGAGTCCATGATTTCGTTTTTTTTCATAAAAGCAAAGCTGAACGCCGAGGTAACTCAAACACAGTTCTAGTATAAGCAATATATTTTTACCGATCCTGAAACCTGACCGCTGGACTGATGCTAATCATAAAACTTTCGAAATACTTTGAAAGGAGAAAAAGTATAGTGGAATTAAATATCATATCTGTAAATTTTTTTGTCGTTTTAGAAGGTTTCGAAAAAATGTCAGTTAAAAAGCTATTCATATGCATACATTAGTCTATAAACAAATCCTGACCGTGAATGAAAATTGTATGACAAGATTTTTCCCACACGCAAGCAAAAACAGCAATTTGTTTTTCCTTAACGTAGTTTTTAATGAAATTTTTGTCGTGTTTTCTCAAATGAAAGATAATTTGTTTAAACAAAAGTATGTTTTTTTTACAGAAAAAATGCGTATCATACAATTTCTAATGATAAAATCTCTATGACAAGCACACTTTAGATACAAAAGTCCAAGCGATAAAATTTTTTGTTTGTTTTTAGTTTAGTCGCTAAACTAATTTTGTGAACAAACAAACCTTTTCCAAAACAATTTGGCATCGAAACCTTTCAAAATTATACCCTTAACGTGGTCCAGACCAGTCATTTCAAACAGAGGAACAAAAACATTATCATGAAGGTGCTTGATTTTTTGCTTGATTTTCAAGAATCATATAAATCTATATCTTTCTTTAAAAAAATCAGGCAAAAAAATTCTTCCACTAAATTTTTCAAAATAAGAGGCTTCATAGCCATATACAGAAATTATGTTTTTTCCTCTACTTCTGTGTGAAAGTCAATATTTTTTCACCTGGAACATATAAATATGTAGTTTGAAATTTATGATGCCATTTAATCTATTGTTTTTCTCCTCTGAGATATATGTTGTTTTTTTTTGTTTCAGGGCAAAACACAAACAAGTAAAGCAAAGTGGAAAAAAAAAATTTTTAAACTCCATGTGAAAAATTTTTGTCGTACAATTCTTATGGAAAATTGCTGGTCATACAATTCAATAGAGAAAAAAAGCTAGCAATACGGTTTTGCATTTTAGAAAAAAGGCTACCCGCATTGGCAAATACTAAGAAATCGATTACATTCAACTCAATTAGACACCAAAATGGATAATATAGAGATTTTACACAGATCAGAAAAATCGATTTTATGGTCTAGAAAATGAATTTTTTTGCGACATGAAATCTGTATAGAAGCCCATAGAAGCTGTATGAAATCGATCACAATCAATTGTTATGCACTTTCAAAGTAATCGAAAAAATCGAATATATTTTACAAAAAATAAATTATATTATTTTTGATCAATTTCAACAAAACAAGACACGTAACAAAAGTTTTTTTTATTCAAAATTTTTTCTTAAAAATTGAAACGAAACTACAATGGATTTAATAGGATAGATAATTTGTATAACATGTGTATATAATCTGTATAAAATCTGTAAATAATCTGTTTCAAAAAATGCACTTAAAAACGGATTTTGGTAACTATCGAATTGATTAAATTAAGTATAAATTACAATGGTTGTAATCGATTTGATAGTAAAAACAATTTCATTATTTGGGCCATAAAACTAAACTAGCTTGCTGAACTTTAAATTTTACTTGCGGTAATCGATTGCAATCTTAGTTTTGCCAATGCGAGTAGTATTGCTCTTTTTTGGCAAAACTTATAATCTTTTTGTTAATTTATCTTTTTGTTAATCGGATAGGTATTTTTTTTCCGAGCGTGCTGAGGCTATATGTAACAGAGGGTCCTTCCGTTTGATCATTATTTGAATATTTAGGGGTTTTATTGATTTTAGTAGCGCCAGTAACCCAGTCACGAACTACTTTGGTCGCAACAGTTGTTTATATATTTTCAATGGTTGCCTTTTTTCTATTGTTTGACCGTAACATAAAAAGTAAAAATATCATTTTCAATGTTCACAACAGGTCAAACAACCAATTTAAATGATGTCAATGGCCCTAATACAAATAGTTTAACAGTTACATGTTTGAGCTAACAGAGTTACCTTAAACGGTTGTTCCATTTGTTCGAAGATCTTCCAAGCACCATTGTTGATATAAATTTGTTTATTTAAAAATAAGACTGTAGTTACTACCACAAGAATTTTTTTCTGAAACTGGAGAGATAAATCCAAATCTACAAATATCAATAATTGATCACAAAATCCGTGACACCAAAAAATTATTTCGTTTTTGCAGATGCATGAAACCAATATAATCGAAGAAACTGATTGAAATTCATTAACTTTCAGGTTTGATCTTGAACTTGAACTTTGAATTCATTCAGATATGATAGCACAAAGCACTACAAAAATACGTAAAGAACAGGTTCTCAATAATTTTTGAATGGCGTACTTGGGAGGTAGCAACTGGATACTGCGATTTCGTTTTCAAAAAGGACAGGATTTTCTAGAACGGCAATAAATCCTTATTTGACTTTAGGCACCAGGAGCAGAAGTGCTGTGGGGTCCAGCATTATGACGACTGGAAATACTCCAAGTGGGTTAAAATCAGAAATCAAGAGCGAAATGTAACTTCGATTGATGACGAGAACTTTGCTCACGCTCCTGACTCCTGCTGCAAGACAGTGCTGGATAACTGTGGCACAATGGCGCATCCTAACAACTTCTACGAACACGGATGTCTGAAGCAGATCGTTGACTTCTTCGAGCGCAATTTGTTGGTCCTGTCGATAGCAGCTGTATTTGTATTGATGATTCAACTTGTGGCATTGGTTTCCTCCTTACTGTTGCTGAACAAGTTGAGAAAGAAAAATATTTGGGAGTGGTATCGGGGACTGGCTAAAGCCACCCAAACTACATATAAAGTCCGATAACTAGCCAAACTTCATCAAAATTATTGCTATTCACCTTTCACTGTCCTAAAAAAAAATTCAAAGCTTTGGCTTAGCGTACAAACGTTTTTTCTTAATATCTCAAAAAACCGATATAGGCGCAAAAATCATATCTCAATGAACCATAATCGATCAGAGATGGTTATATTGCAAGATCTTGCAAGAATCTTGCTAGAATCCTTACAAGGTTATGTATAACTATAAAAGATCTTGCAAGATACCCATCATGCAAGATATCATTAACTTTGAAAGATATCAATAATTTTGAAGAAGCAATTTTCAGAGAAATTAATAGAGCAAGGACAACCAAATATTGATCGTGGAAGAAGCTTTGCACCAGAAATTTTTTTGTGATTGGGCGGGGTGATATTATCAATTTTTTATGGACTAAACGACTCTAATCTCTACCAAACTCAATTTCAGCAATTAAACAACAGATGTGAAGCAATGAACACTTATAACACTAATTCAACTGAATTATAGAATGAAGAATCAGATGAAACTATGAGCTCTAACTTTGGGCTTTTTTGCCCCTTTTTTGCTTTTTTCTTACCTTCGGTAAATTCAGATTTTACCGTAAAAATACCAGAACTTTGGCTTCGTTCATTATGTGTTTATTCGTTTAAATTGAATGTCATTTATGAATAGTAATACCCCAAAATGACCCTTGATACCTTCTGTAAAAGTAACTTTGGCAAAAAAACTAAATTGAGAAAAAATTTCTCGACCAAACATCTAGTTCAAATTCATAAATTTTATGCAAAACCTTTTATTTAGTACTGTGTTTTGGCATACAGATACACAAAAAAAATTGATATACTGAGACAAAATTTGAAAAATTTATTCAGAGTTATGTTCAGAAATTGCGATTATAAGTCAGAAACAGAGTTTGGAGTTAACAGCAAAATATTTTCCGCATAATAACTTCATTTATATAAATTATTGAAAGTATTTGCAAATTTTTTAAAGAAAGAAAGCTCTGTTCATCTTAGTTACAATTTTACAATGATGAACGCACGTTTTCAGGCTCTGTAAGTGGCAGCTTTTTAAAAATATCTCTACAAATTCTTTACTTCTAGGCTAAAAAAAATGCTGAACCGTGTTGTAAATTACCATCTAAATTATGTGCATTTTAAAACAACTGCAAATCATTATGAAATGCACATTTTCAACTAGAATTTTCTGGAATGCTGCATCATAAACAACGAAGAACTAGTTTATTTTGTTTTCTTTTTTACTTTTCCAAGTGTTTTAAATTTTTTGTTCCGACTTTCGATACGAAAGTAACGGAATATTTGTGCTCGGGGTGGGTTTTTTTTTTCTTCAGACAAATTTCGACTTTTTAACTAGCGATTTTTGACGGAATTTTTTTATATCATTCGAACGCCATTGTTGTCCTGAACTTAAATTTGAAAAGACATTTCACCTGTGTTTATTTTTCGTAAAGTTATGAGGGTTTAAAGATTGCCATTTTGACCAATTTGGGACAATTAACGCGCGACATAATTCGCGCTATTAACGCGTAAGCGGAGATTTAATCCGCCTTATAAATCTTTCCAAATTGGTTGAACGAAGCTTTTTTGCCATAATTGATTTGTTACAAGGAACGAAATCTGTCTTTTTGTAAAATGGCAATTGGTCAAAATGGCAAATTGGTCAAAATGGCCAAAATGGCAATCTTCAAACCCTCCTGACTTACGAAAAATGATCACAAGGGAAAATATTTTTTCAAATTTAAGCTCAGGACAACAATAGCTTTCGAATGATATAAGAAAATTCCATCAAAAATCGCTAGTTAAAAAGTCGACATTTGTCTGAAGAAAAAAACCCACCCCGAGCACAAATATTCCGTTACTTTCGTATCGAAAGTGGGAACAATAATTTTTGGTTCGACCACAAAATCGCCAGATAATAGATAATAATCGGAGAAACTTCGGTGCGGGTAACTATAGCTTCTTCATTCTTAATTTAAACTCTGCAAGTTTAGTTGTACGTGTCTTAGTCTTAGTTTTGACAAGCTACGGAGTCAATCTTTGAACAAATCGTTGCAAAATGAGCCTAACTCTTATTTTGTCACCTTAATTGAAAGTCTCAATAGTTGAAGTAAGCTGAAACAAATCGAAATTAAACAGGACAACTCGTATCAGGGCGAAGCCCTGAATGTTCCGACTGCCTTTTAAGGTTTATGGAGCAGCAGTAATAACATAAGAAAAATAAATGAAAAAAAATCAAATGAAAACTTTTTTTTTTAATTTGAAATTTTTAATGAAAATCATCCCACCACACCCCATATAAAGTACAAAAAGATAGATTCCATTCCTTGTAACTAATCAATTATGGCAAATAAGCTTCGTTCAACCAATTTGGAACGATTTATAAGACGGAATAAATCTCCGCTTTTAATAGTGCGAATTATATTGCGCGTTAATTGTCCCAAAATGGTCAAAATGGCCAAAATGGCAATCTTCAAACCCTCATGTTTTACGAAAATAATCACAGGGGAAATATCTTTTCAAATTTAAACTCAGGACAACAGTAGCTTTCGAATGATATAAGAAAATTCCATCAAAAATGTTTTACGAAAATAATCACAGGGGAAATATCTTTTCAAATTTAAACTCAGGACAACAGTAGCTTTCGAATGATATAAGAAAATTCCATCAAAAATGTCTAGTTAAACAGTCGGAATTTGTCTGAAGAAAAAAAACCCACCCCGAGCACAAATATTCCGTTACTTCTGTATCGAAAGTCGGAACAATAATTTTTGGTTCGACCACAAAATCGCCAGATAAAAGATAAAAATCGGAGAAACTTCGGTGCGGAAAACTATAGCTTCTTCATTCTTAATTTAAACTCTGCAAGTTTAGTTGTACGTGTCATAACCTTAGTTTTTACGTGCTATGGAGTCAATTTTTGAACAAATCGTTGCAAAATGAGCCTAACTCTTATTTTGTCACCTTAATTGAAATCTCAATAGTTGAAGTAAGCTGAAACAAATCGAAATTAAACAAGACTACTCGTATCAGGGCGAAGCCCTGAATGATCCGACTGCCTTTTAAGGTTTATGGAGCAGCAGTAATAACATAAAAAAATTAAATGAAATAAAATAAAATGAAAACTTTTTCTAAAATTTGAAATTTTTAATGAAAATCATCACCCCACACGCCATATAAAGTACAAAAAGATAGATTTCGTTCCTTGTAACAAATCAGTTATGGCAAATAAACCTCGTTCAACCAAATTGGAACAATTTATAAGACGGATTAAATCTACGCTTACGCGTTAATAGCTCGAAATATATCGCGCGTAAATTGTCGCAAATTGGTCAAAATGGCCAAAATGGCAACCTTTAAACCCTCATAACTTTGCGAAAAAAGATCACGGGTGAAATATCTTTTCAAATTTAAGCTCAGGACAACAATACCTTTTGAATGTTATAAAAAAATTCCGTCAAAAATGGCTAGTTAAAAAAGTTGCAATTCATCTGAAGAAAAAAAACCCAACCCGAGCACAAATATTCCGTTACTTTTGTATCGAAAGTCGGAACAATAAATTTTGGTTCGACCACAAAATCGCCAGATAAACGATAAAAATCGGAGAAACTTCGGTGCGGGTAACTATAGCTTCTTCATTCTTAATTTAAACTCTGCAAGTTAGGTTGTACGTGTCATAACCTTAGTTCTTACGTGCTACGGAGTCAATTTTTGAACAAATCGTTCCAAATGAGCCTAACTCTTATTTTGTCACCTTAATTGAAAATCTCAATACTTGAAGTAAGCTGAAACAAATCGAAATTCAACAAGACTACTCGTATCAGGGCGAAGCCCTGAATGATCCGACTGCCTTTTAAGGTTTATGGAGCAGCAGTAATAACATAAAATAATTAAATGAAATAAAATAAAATGAAAAGTTTTTCTAAAATTTGAAATTTTTAATGAAAATCATCCCCCCACACGCCATATAAAGTACAAAAAGATAGATTTCGTTCCTTGTAACAAATCAATTATGGCAAATAAGCTTCGTTCAACCAATTTGGAACAATTTATAAGACGGATTAAATTTCCGCTTTTAATAGCGCGAATTATATTGCGCGTTAATTGTCCCAAATTGTTCAAAATGGCCATAATGGCAATCTTTAAACCCTCATAATTTTACGAAAAAAGATCACAGGTGAAATATCTTTTCAAATTGAAGCTCAGGACAACAATACCTTTTGTATGATATAAAAAAATCCGTCAAAAATGGCTAGTTAAAAAGTTGCAATTCATCTGAAGAAAAAAAACCCACCCCGAGCACAAATATTCCGTTACTTTCGTATCAAAAGTCGGAACAAAAACCTTGCCAATAAAATTTTAAAATGGTCTTTTTTTTGCGAATACAAAAAGAGCCGAAAGATCTTCTTTTTTCATTGACAATTATCCAGACAATTTTGATCTAAATCTTGTAAAAATGTGTTGGAATTGCAGGAAATTGTGTTGGACTTAACTCATATCAGTCAAATTACTGTGCTCGGTGTGGGTTTTTTTTTTCTTCAGACAAATTTCGACTTTTTAACTAGCAATTTTTGACGGAATTTTTTTATATCATTCGAAAGCCATTGTTGTCCTGAACTTAAATTTGAAAAGACATTTCACCTGTGTTTATTTTTCGTAAAATTATGAGGGTTTAAAGATTGCCATTTTGACCAGCGGAGATTTAATCCGCCTGATAAATCTTTCCAAATTGGTTGAACGAAGCTTTTTTGCCATAATTGATTTGTTACAAGGAACGAAATCTATCTTTTTGTAAAATGGCAATTGGTCAAAATGGCAAATTGGTCAAAATGGCCAAAATGGCAATCTTCAAACCCTCCTGACTTACGAAAAATGATCACAAGGGAAAATATTTTTTCAAATTTAAGCTCAGGACAACAATAGCTTCCGAATGATATAATAAAATTCCATCAAAAATTGCTAATTAAAAAGTCAAAATTGGTTTGAAGA